GACACACATCCTGTGGCACTCACCCAGAGAACATGTACATCAGAGGGGTTCCTGTTCGTTGCAGGTTTAAAGAAACTGGGAATAAAAGGAGAATTAAATTCTCCCTGGGCACATGGCTTTCTTGTTCACCATGTCAGTTCTTTGTAGATGGTTTCGTGAGGGGTAGAAAAAACATTCCCAGAGCAGGGGCTGCTTCTCAGAGGGAGTGCTTCCACTCCCCTCCATGACTTCAGGAAGAAGGCACTGGTCCTCGCTGGTCGTCTCTGGGCGCCATCATCACTTTCGGCTGGCTCAAGGAAGGGGCCAAAGCCGGGCAGTAGGCCACCCATGGAAGAGGTGGAGGAAAAGGAAAGAACTGACCAGTAGCTGGGAGTTTTGACAGAGCTCTTATCAACTTGACTGCATAGAATCTGAACAGAATAACCTCTTTTGTGAGCAATGTGTTTTACTCTCGGCCACAATATTGTCTCGTGGCTCTTAAGTCACATGTTTAAAGTCTTCTAAACAGGATACCATTGTCCTCTCTGAAGCAGTACCCGTTATGCTGTTCCCCTTCACCCCTGTCAGCCAGGCTGTTCTTTTAGGTTCAGTCCTCACCCCACCACCCTCATCCCCACCTCCCAGGCAAGCTTTCTGGATCTAGGAACAGTCAGGTCCCCACTCCTTTTTCTTCTGGTGTCTCTTATGCAGGACTTGCTCTGGTTGTGGGGATTTTCATGATTCAAATAGGGTTTATTAATTAGAAATATGATTGTCCTCTGCAGACGAATATTGCCTATAATAGGATCTAACTGTGTGACTTTGTTTTTTCATAACAGCAGATATCCCTTCAGTTAAAGAGACATGCACTTTTTAATTTTTTTTTTTTAAGTTTAGAGGATGTTAATAAGGTGTTGGTGGCGCTAGGACCTTTAACCCAGATCAAGAACTATAGATTTGCTCAATGATGATTAGGTTTCATAGCTGTCTATTGGAAACATGGAAAGAAAAGAAATTAAAGCAACTTTAATGCTGACAGTTCCAGTGAGAAAAATCATTTTGTTAACATGAATCTGAAATTGTGTCCACAACTCCATTTCTTTCCATTCAAACAACTATTTTATATTCAATTTATAATCAAGCAATTATTAATAATTTATAATCATTTTGTATAACGTGTTTCTTTGGAGCATAGAAGTCCTACTATTGCAAAGCAGATGGGACCTGTGTGCAGAATGTAATACATGATATTCTAACTTGGGGGATGCAAATCTATCGCTCACTAGACTGTGATCTCCTTAGGTTCAGAAACTCTGTCTTTTCATCTCTCATTCCGGGGCCACGGTGATCAACTGAACATGTGCATATGTTCTGGTATTACATCTCAGTTCACGCCCGCACACCCTGTGCGCCCCACACGCCACCACTGAAAGTTGTAACACTGCCATTGTAAAGACAACGATCTGTAGAGCAAGTCTCTTGCCACCATCATACCCCACGCGGCCTGGCCGCTCCAAGCGCCCTCCTCCCACTGGGAGTTGTTCATCGGGTTCTCGTTTTCTTTCCACATCAGGAATCCTCCTCATGATGTCCTTGTGCCGTGAGGTGCACGTGTATGAATACATCCCGTCGATCCGGCAGACGGAGCTGTGCCACTACCACGAGCTGTACTACGACGCCGCGTGCACGCTGGGGGCGTACCACCCGCTGCTCTATGAGAAGCTGCTGGTGCAGCGCCTGAACACGGGTGCCCTGGGGGACCTGCACCGCAAGGGCAAGGTTGTCCTGCCCGGGCTCCGGGCCGTGCGCTGCCCTGTGCGCCGCTCTTGAATAGAGGGACTCCTGGAATCCATGTGCAATAAGGTACTACTGACGTACTCTGAGTCACAAAAGAATACTTGAAGATGTGTTTTAGGCAATGTCGTCTTGATTCTTTAAACTGTAAGTTAGTGGTGGCCACGAGAATTCTTCTCTTTCTAAGCCATTGAGTATTTATTACTATTTTGAATAGAATAATGGAATTGAAAGGGGGGAGGGGTAAAAAAAACCAAGAAAGATGAAAAAAAAAGAAAAGAAAAAAAGATAGCGGGGGAGAAAAAGCAAATGCATAACACAAGGGTACTATACTGTCAAAATTGGTAAGCCTTTCTCTGCCATGGGCACCACTTAACAACGTTGGTTTCAGTGATACACCTGGCACTATGAAATGGTTTATACCTAGAAACACCAATGGTAAGGTACAGTATCTGTAGCGTTAGTGTGTCACTTGTACATGCATTCATCATTAAAGATCCTAGAGTTGATGACGAACGTCTGAATTATCGCTCAGATGCGTTTATTTTAACAGTAAATTCCCCAGTATGTCCTACAAGGTGCTCGTGTTTCCAAACCATTGATTCACCATCTCTCCTTCTCGCCGCCCCCTGAATGCTTTGTGCTTTGTGTATCAGGGCACATTTCTAAAACCATAGAGCATCCGAGTTGAGCAGTTCAAGATAAAGCCAACCCCGGAACAGCACCACAGAGGAGAGACACTGTTTTCCTGCAGCATTTCCTTACTTGACTAGGAATATCACCCAGACAGAAAGAAGCATCCCTGGCAAGGAATACAGAATCACGCGGCTGTAGGGCAGCCTGGCCTCAGCTTTTTCGCCTTGTACCTTCTCACCTGCCAGTCCCCGTCCCCCTCCCCCCCCCACAGCCTTTCACAGTTTCAGGCACTGAGGATTATGACACCCCAGTGGGAGAGGGCTCCTTCCAATCCAGAAGCAGCGTTTCGGAGCAGTAACCCTATGCTTCTGGGGATGCACACCTATCTCTTTTATATGGGTTTCTTGCAAGTAAGTATTGGCTATTGCAACCCAAAAGTGATTTAACAGTCACTAGTTCTTTCTGCAGATGGACATTTAGGAATTCCATCCTTGTTTTCACAGATAGGTTTATGTCAGCAACATAACAAAGCCATATAATTAAATAAAATTGTGTGAAAGCATGGCTCTTTAACAACAAGGAAAACACGTATACGCTTCAGAGGGAAAGGCAGCTAGTGGGAAAATTGTCATCCCAGTGCATTAGCTATATTCAGTTTCTGGTTTTTTTAATCTCAATTTTTGTCACTGATACATTGAAAAAAATTTTGATATGAACACAGTGAAACATACATTATGGGAGACCTTAATTAAACATGCTATTATTTCAATATATAACCAAAACATAGCTCAGTGGTATGATTAAGATTTCTTGGCAATGACCATAGCAGCTTAATTAAATATGTTCTCCCTTGCAAGTGTGTGAATGTCAGGAGAGTTTATGGAAAGTTTTGTTGTTGTTGCTGTTGTGCCAGGGTTGTTTTTCTCCTGAGCCTGCTTTCTTGAGCAAGAATGATTTACAGAAACTGACAGTTGTTTGGTTAGCCTGCTCAGCAGAAATCCTGTTGGATAAGAGACATCTCCTATGGTTTACTATAGGGATGACAGTGGGAGTCACTGAAAAGTTTCAGTCATGGCAATGTCACTAAAAGCCCATTTGAAAGCTTTGTTTCTAGATCTGTGAGAAGGGTGGATAACTTTGTCCTACACGTTAGCCTGTATCTGAGCAGACATGGTCAAGTGACTCTTCTCCCCAGTGTCCTGAAAGAGATTGGCCTTGTCCCCATGTTTAGTGAGCAGTGACTGGATGCTGGAGAGGCAGCTCTGACGCAGGGCGCGCGGTGCTCCCGCAGCTTTTGTTTCTCCCGGCGCCTTCCAGGCTCTGCCTTCAAATGCCCAGGACCCAGAGGTTTCCTTGATATTTGTCCTAGTGGATTTCCTCACTGGCATCCTTATTACCAGGACAGCCCCCTTTGATGACATGAGAAATTGGTTAGAGGAAAGTTTATTGGGGTCAGAATAAATATTCAAGTTCAGAAGCCCCAGAAAACACTTCAGAGGTTTTGAAATAGCGTTATGCTGTAACGCATGCACTTTTAAAAAGTACGTTCAGTCTCACTGAGGTTGTAAGAAAGACTGAAGAGCATAAAGGAAACTTAATTAAAATTTTTGAATTTATTATGGCCTTGGGAATCAGGGTCTGTTAAACATCCCAAAAATGTGGTACACATATTAATAATATTAATACAGTGTAGGCTGGGCATTCATTCTTCTATTTAAAAGTTTAAATTGATTAGTTTCTCAAAATATTAGGCAGCTAGAGTTAACATGATGACTGCTTCTAGTATTAACCAAATTGGGTCTAAGTGGCAATACTTGGCCAGACTTTGATTAAGTCTTTATATGCTAATTTACTGGACTGCAGTAAACACACAGGCCTTTTGTGGCATAGTTAACGGTAAATGGTGTCCTGCAGTCCCTCCAGGCTCTGCCCCTTCCAAAACCCTCCCTCCTCTTCTGCGAAGGGTCGCTAATAAAATCCTTATGGTGCAACCTGAAGCCATTAAGTGTCCCTTTTTTCACTCTCAGGACTAACAAAGGTCACATTGCTTTATATTTCAAAATAGTTTCATTTGATTTTTTTTTGTTTTTGTTACCACAAAGAAACAAGTATTGACCAAGAATGACAGCTCACCTTTATCTAGATTCTTCCTAACTCCTTTCACCAGTCCCTCCACCAGGGACAAGGGTAAGGCTTAGCAGTTGTGGCATTCTCACTGTCCCCGTGGAATGCAGTGCTGGCCCTGTGTACCCGAACTTCCCCACTAAGTCTTCACAGAGCTGCTTTTATCAAGAATTTCGTGCATGAGGTGGTCAATTACAAGTTGTATGTCAGCCTCATGCAACCTCAGCGGTGTGCATTAAAATGCGCCAAGTGAGGGGCTTTTGCACATCTGTCAGTTACTGGGTCTTTCCTTGTCCATCCGGACACACAACTCAAGGAACCCAGCTTCAGCACCAGCACCTCCCATGTGTCTCGTGCCCTCAGTCTCAGCCAGACACTTACTCAATCCAGGACTCTCTGGTAATCACCTGTCATTGTAGCCACAGCATCTTGACAAAGCAAAGCTGAAATAATCATTAGCATTTTCAAAATTGGGAAGTAAAAGTAACTGCTTAAAGCTACCATGGGGTCTCTCTGTTTCGTGTTTATGAGCCAGTTCATTCTGGTGGAACAGGTAAATACCTTATGCTGTTGGCTGACCCTTCTAGGCAGGAACACTTCCATCCACTGAGTTAATTAGGTCCTGTTTGGCTACATTAGGTGGAATCAGCCTCACATGGGTAATGGTATGTGATGGAAGAATTTTGTATGCACAAATGACATGATTAAAATTCTCTCTCTAGACTTTCTTAGAGATCAACTCATGGTGCATGTTTGAGGCTGGTGGCCAAAGTGAGCTGGTCCCATTTCTGCTTAGCTATGGGAAGAAAAGAGAAAGGAGATAGGGGAATTATCGAGAAATATATGACTAAATATATGGGCCACATAGTCTCTGAATATATTCTATTATACTGTCTGTTTCGACCGCACGCTTTTTTTCTGATAGTTCAGAACTCTCTCCAGTGGTTACACAACTGATGAAAGCAGCTACATTTAGAAGTGAATTGCTTAGATAAAGTATGCCTGAGTTCACCTTTGTTTTTTATATTCTGGATATTTCCATTGTGAAAATATTCTGCATGTTTGTGTCACTGGGGCATCATTTACACAATAGGTAAATGAAAGGTATTTCTCTGTCAATTCAAGGATAAAGTGTAAGTGCTGATTCTTATTTTATTCAATTAATGAAACCTTTTAATAAGAAAAATTAACCCGGCATATTCCTCTACAAGCTTGGGCTAGTGGAATGTAAAGAATTAAAGACATTGATATAGTTCTTACTCTTGTTATAAAAAGTGTGCATGTAGATATAGTTATATAATTGCATATATACATATCTGCACACATGGTTGGTTTTATATTGTCTTTTTTCATCACACTTTATTTCTGAAAATTTTATAATAAATTTTATTTTAATTATGCAAACACCAGTTTTTTAAGAGAAGAAAGCAGATGTTATACGTTCTTCTGTTAAAAAAAAAAAGTCTTCCCATACACTCATACTTTACCCATTCTGCCTCCATTAAAAAGTATGGCAGAAATATTTCAAAGGCACTCTGAAGGTAGAACCACTGCCTGAAGATGGTGTCCTAGTCAGAAGCCTTTCTTTCACTCTGAACGTCAATGAGAAGTTTACAGCTCATGGCTTTTACAAGATTAGGGAAAGAAACAGTTATTGGTTCTGTGGAAAATATTCTTCTTAGTAGGTAGGTTTCAAGCAGATTAACTGCCTTGGTAGCATTAACACCTAACATTTCTGGTACCACACATCCTGTTTTACCCTAGATAAACATACTTATGAAATTTTTCCCGTGGAAACCAGTGAACTTTTTTAACAGCTTTGGGAATTTTTTTGTATGATAATTTTTAAAATGAAATGTGTACTCTTCAAACTAATTAAGGCTTGAGGTTTTCCAGGAGTCACATTTTAAAAGTGTTTGTACACATTTTAACATTTTGATATTTTCTATTTTGGTTTTGTATATTTTTATGTATACACAGTGTACAGACTTTTTCTTGTAAATAAAACATGTTTTCATTTGTCTAGACATTTCTCTGTTTTAATTTGTAGAAGTTGTAGAAACAAATGAGCGAGTGGCAAAATAATGAGCTGTCCCTAGAAAAAAATGGCATGAAGTCAAAATCTAATTAGAAGTCTGTAAAAGACATAATGACAGCATGCCTTCCAACTGTGAGTGTTGAGGCACCTGAGTCTGAAAACCAGAGGTGGGGTTGCTTGTCTTTGTCCAGGGGCTAATCGCCACATGC